TTTCGCCATCTTCGGATCTTCAGGAGACGGGTCTATCAGCCAGCCTACCCCCGAATGCGCACTGGATTGGCGGGCAGCTGCTGAGTCAACACCGTTCCTCTTCCGCCGCTCAGGACTCCTTGGGTAAGCTTACACTTTTTCCTTTCCAGGTAGTGCAAGGCATCCCACCTTCGTCGCCAGTGTTGCGTCCTTGGCGGGAAAACAGACACGAGAAACAGCTGGAGTTCTCAGGTTCTTTTATTCAGCGTTCAGCTTACAGGAAGATGGCTTCAGCTCAGCCCAAACGCCTCACAGCCTCTTATATAGGCAACTCCCGGGTAAATGGGTTACTTTTCCCGCGCCAGCACCCGCGCATGCGCGCGGCGCTGGCGACAGCCTGTCTGGTCCCGGGCAGCTTTGCACCTGCCCGGGACTGCCTGCAAACGCCCGAGCCGTTTGCAAGGCTCGGGACATAACAGCACCCATATGACCGGACCTCTTTTTTTTATATTTGTTGCATCAGTCATTACGTGAATCATGGGGTTATAAGTGAACAGTGCAGTTGTTAAGCAAGCCCATTCTTCCAAATGGGTGTTCTTTTGCTGGAAATTGCTCCCCAAAACCCCCCAATAACCCTGGAAACCAGCAAAAAAGAAATGCTACAAATTGTGGTTGTGTGACTGCGCGACACCACAACTGGTCATAAAGAAGAGCTGGTAACCAAGCACTTGAAATACAGTCATGTAACTGTGGGAGATGGGGTAGGGCAGGGGAAGGCAACCTTGGCTCTTTTATGACTCGTGGACTTCAATTCCCAGAATTCCTGAGGTAGCCATGCTGAGGGGAAAGGGAGAGGTTTCCAAGCTGAGCCATGCTGGCTCAGGAATTCTGGGAGTTGAAGTCCATGAGTCATAAAAGAGCCAAGGTTGCCTACCCCTGGGGTAGGGTGACATTTCATGAAGGCCGGTAGTATTTTACAAGCTGCAAAACACCAGTTCCAAGGTCACTGTAACTCCAAACGGTTGTAAAACAACCGGCCGTATATTGAGGACTACTTGGAATGGATAAAACACAGTCAAATGTAGTGTGCTTTACTACCTGAAACTTGAAAAAGAATAAAAAAACCCTTTTGGAGTTGCCAACCGTGGGGTCTCTAGGTTGATCTGGCGGGACTGCAGAGTGGGCCGGCTTGAGCAAGCAGTGGATGTGGCCAGGATAAAGTGGGTAGGGCTACCCATCTTCCTGCAGTTCCCTTTCCCCAATTTCTGCCACTTTCCTTTTTCTGTCTCTTTCTCTGGCCCTTAATTTCTCTCTCTATTCCACTTAAAAAGAAGGTCCTCCAAGTGCTGAAGAAGCGTGGTGGCGCAGTGGTTAGAATGCAGTACTACAGGCTATTTCTGCTGACTGCTGGCTGCCAGCAGTTCGGCAGTTTGATCCTGACCGGCTCAAGGTTGACTCAGCCTTCCATCCTTCCGAGGTCGAAAAAATGATAGCTGGGGGCAATAGGCTAACTCTTTAAACCACTTAGAGAGGGCTTTAGAGCACTGTGAAGCGGTATATAAGTCTAAGTCAGTGGGTCGGGACCCCATTTGGGGTCGAACGACCATTTCATGGGGGTCGCCAAACAACGCAGTCCGCCATTTTTTCCCCTCTTTTCCTTAGCTGTGCTACTCCCTTTTATTCTATTGGCTTTTGAAAGCCAATAGAATAGACTCTCTTGAATAGAGTCTAATTCTATTGGCTTTCAAAAGCCAATAGGAATTGTCCAGGCTGTCTCTGCCCTGCTGAGCCTGCCAAAAGTCCCATTCTGCAAACGGTGCTGCACCAGTTGAGTAGTCCTCGACTTACGACCGGTTGAGTAGTCCTTGACTTATGACCGGTTGGGGGTCGTGGCATTAAAAAGGTTGAGAACCACTGGTCTAAGTGCTATTGCTATTGTTGAATGAAGCAGGATGCTGATATGGAGGACATCACTAGAGGGCTTGGGCCAAAACTGACCATCTTTTTTAAAGGAGTGATCAAGATTAGAGGAAACCCTAAACTCTACTTCACCCAATAAACAAAATAAGCCGATGGGAGCCTTTGTCTTTTTAGAATCTTTTTTTTTTTTTAAAGAGAGACAGAGCTACAAATAATAGCCTGCTGACAATATTCAGCAGTGGGGCTCTTGGTGCTCTCTGAACTTGGTGGTTTTCTTGCAGACATTTCATTACCCAACTAGGTAATCTCATCAGAATTAGAAGGGGGTGGGGTTTGTTCTGTTTATATACAGTAGTTTGCAGTATCAGTGTTACTGAACTTCCATGATTAGGCTGTTATTTACTGATAGCTTGCTTGCCTACCAAGTTCCTTAATTGGGATATTATTTATTTTTCGATCTAGTTGGTCTAGTATTAACCCAGAGCAAACCCAACTCCCTTCTATTACTGATGCAGTTACCTAGTTGGGTAAGGAAATGTCTACAAGAAAACAAGCAAGCTCAGAGAACACCAGTGACCCCATAGTTCAACCCTGAGCTGTACATATTCTCTCTTATAAGTTCAGCAGTGTGATCCAGGTCAGATCCAGGCTTGCTCCAGTCTTCTTCTCTGCTGCCTGTCTAACATCTTCCCAGCCCAAGCTTTGTGAGGGCTGAACAAGAAAAAAACGCTAATATTTTCCGTCCAGATTAATCAGAGCCTGTCGGAAAGGCACGGTGGCCCTTGTCAAACATGTCCCATTTTTAAACCCTGCAACCACCGTATCTCTCTGTTAGTTGGTCAACTCGGTTCTCTCCTAACTTTTGACTGGGCAAACAGAACGAAGGGAGCAGCTTGGGACGCGAAGTGTTTAAATGGTTATCAGGCCAGAGGGTTTTTGTGCCCAGCCTTATCAATGTCCTGCTCAGTCACACCTGTAGGAAATACCTGTACAACATCGTCCATTGTGTGCAGCTTACCCCTTCTGTGGATCTTCGTTTGTAGAATAAACACCGTTTGTGTGAAAACGCTTTTGGGCAAAGTCAATAGTTCTTTCAGGGAACCTGGGCGTGCTTTGTCAATCAAGACTCCTTAGAAAAGGCCAAGTAAACAAGCGGGACTGTGTACGTACCACACTTACTCAAGCTGAAGTTTTTCCTCTTTCCCTCTCCCAGCTGGAGGCTGGATCACCATTTAGAGAAAAGCCCACCCCGTGCTAAAACACTGGAGTCTCTGCTCCGTGTCTTATCGCAGCACAATTGTATAACTTGGGTTAAATATTTACACAGCATGGAATCCAGGATGGAAGGAACAACAGACCATAATTCCTTTGGCGGTTTTCTTCTTGAATCAACCCCATCAGTAATTTGTCAGAGCCCAGAGTAGACTGTTAGAAAAGAGCCCCACAGGAAGTAAACACAAAGGCATGGAAACCTGTCTATATAGTCCTCCATTTACAACATTTCATTTAGTGACTGTTGGAAGTTACAACAGCACTGGGAAAAAAAGTGACTTATGACCACTTTTCATCCTTTCAACCATTGCAGCATCCCCAGTGTTATGTCCTGAGCCTGTGCAAGCAGGCTCAGGGCATTGCAAGCGGTCCCGGGCAGGTGCAAGTTGCCCGGGACCAGACAGGCTGTCGCTAGTACTTGTGCGCATGCGCAAGTGCTGGCGCGCCAAAAGTTGCAGATTGACCCGGGAATGGCCTATATAAGAGGCCAGGAGTTTTGGGCGTTGTCGGTGTCTTCCAACTGTAAGCTGAACTAAGAATAAAGAAGTCTTGAGAACTACAACTGCTTCTCGTGTCTTGCCATTTCGCGAAGGACGCAAGACCCAGGTGACGGGATTTACATTCAGATGCTTGACAACTGACTCCCATTTATGACGGTTGCAGTGTCTGGCAATCACGTAATCTCCTTTTGCGACCTTCTGATAAGCAAAGTCAATGGGGGAGCCAGATTCACTTAACAGTCAGGTTACTAATTTAAGAACTGCAGTGTTTCACTTAACAAACGTGGTGAGAAAGTTTGTAAAAGGGGGCAGAACTCAGTTAACCAATTTCTCACCTAGTGACATGAATCTGGGGCTCAGTTGTAGTCATACGTTGAGGACTGCCTCCTGTAGTTGACAATAAGGATGGAGTTTGAAAATGGGAGGAAGTCCATCGACAGAGATCTAATTCCACGTACTGGAAGTCAGAGGGAAATACACTAAGTCTAAAAGCGTGAAGGTCTAAAAAGAGAAATGGGAAACCGATTGTGGCTGGGTAAGATCAAGTTTTCCAGGTCTCTTGAAAGCTTCCAGGTTACAGGAGGAGGAGAAGAATGGATATTGCAATCATAATTTTACTGGAATGAGCAGGATGAAAATGTTGCCCTTTTGCCGGGAAGTTGTAAACACACTTAAGACTCCTTCCTCCTCCTATTTTCTCCACAACAACCTTGTGAGGTGGACCGGGCTGGCTTTCATGCCTAAAGAGTAGAACTCATGATCTCCTGATAATTGGCCAAAGTCACCCAGATGGCTTTCATGAGTAAGGCAGGATTAGACTTCCCAGTCTCCTGTGATTGGCCTAAAGCAAGGGTAGGCAACCTTGGTTCTTTTATGACTCGTGGACTTCAACTCCCAGAATTCCAGAGCCAGCCATGCTGAGGGGAAAGGGAGAGGTTTCCATGCTGAGCCATGCCGGCTCAGGAATTCTGGGAGTTGAAGTCCATGAGTCATAAAAGAGCCAAGGTTGCCTACCCCTGGCCTAAAGTCACCCAGCCAGCTTTCATGCCTAAGGCGGGTTTAGACTTCCCAGACTCCTGTGATTGGCCTAAAGTCACCCAGCCAGCTTTCATGCCTAAGGCGGGATTAAATTTTCCAGTCTCCTGTGATTGGCCCAAAGTCGCCCAGCTGGCTTTCATGCCTATGGTAGGATTAGAACTCAGGTCTAGTTTCTAAGCCAGCACTTTAATCCTTGATTATATTTATGGATTATCTTATGCGCAAATCAGGGCAATGTATGACATTTTGGGATGCAAAATCTGAAATAGTTGGAAAGGAAGATTTTTCTACCTTTTGTTGACGAATCGTGGCCCCTTTTCCGTTTCCTCTGCAAATTCTGAATGTTCTCAGTAACATAGCAGTATTCTTCTTTTACCAAAGTTCTTGAGAGAGCTTTTTCTTCACGAGTACCAACCATCTATATAAATCAGAGAAATGGATAAAGACAGGTTTAAGATGCATGAAGAAAAACGTCAGGTAATTTAGAGCAGGGGTTTTCAACCTTGGCAACTTTAAGACTTGTGGACTTCAACTCCCAGAATTCCTCAGCCAACCAAGCTGGCTGAGGAATTCTGGAGTTGAAGTCCACAAGTCTTAAAGTTGCCACGGCTGGGGACCTCTGATTTAGGGAATCTGTCTTCTTTTCCAGTTACATTGAAAATACTGTTCGGTTTTTCACCACTCTCAAATGGTCAAATCAGGTCTGGTTATATTCCCATGACCACAAGGACATGTGCTTTTAGCTACAGCCATAAGACAAGCGGTTCATATTGTGGTTTGAATCAGGGGGTCACTTAGTGAAGACTTGGGGACTTCAATTCCCAGAAATCCACAGCCAGTTTTAAGGTTGCCCACAAGTTTTAAGGTTGCCAAGTTTGGAGGCCCCTGGCTTAAATAATAAGCCTAATGAGACAAGAAGCAATTACAAAATTCTCAGACCCGTAGTGAGGAAGCTGAAGATCTCCAGAAGTTCCTGAACTACAGCACAGGTAGTCCTTGACTTAAGACTCCAAGCGGCTACTAAACGAATGGTTGTAAAGTTGAAGACTACCCATATTCTTCTCAGCCACCCATATCAACAGTGCCAATAGGAAAGGTTGTTTGGAATTGTAGTTCAGCAAAATCCAGAAGACCCAATTTCCCCATCTTGTCTGATGATGTCATATCCCATCTTTGAAAGACAGGATGACTTCGACCCCTTCAAAACATGGGAACGGACCTCACTCTCAGATACGATGGTCCCATCAGAATCATCCTGCAGTGAGTCAGAATCGCCATTATCTGAAAGAGACAAAGGCATGTAAGGAGATCAACGTCTGTCACAAGGTCTAGAAACGCCATTTTTTCCCTCTCTTTTTGTGAGTAGAGAAATGTAGGGCAGAAAAGAGTTTTCCCCCTTTAAGGGCTCAGAAAACAGAGAACCACGTGGTTTTCTAATCGCCAGGATTAGGGATAATTCATACAGTATTGCATAAGTATTTGTGGGTCCATTGCTCAGTTGTGTGTTTGACTTCTGCTTTATTTGTAGAAGGTGCCGTGTTCCAGTTTTAGAACATAGAATAATAGAGTTGGAAGGAACCTCAGAGGTCTTCTAGTCCAACCCCCTGAGAATAGAATAGAATAGAAACAGAATAGAATAGAATAGAATAGAATAGAACAGAATAGAGCTGGAAGGAACCTTGAAGGTCTTCTAATCCAGCCCCCTGCTCAAGCAGGAGAACCTATACCATCTCAGACAAGTGACTGTTTAGTCTCTTCTTCAAAATCTCCAGTGATGGAGCACCCATGATTTCTGGAGGCAAGCTGTTCCACTGGTTAATTGTCCTCACTGTCAGAAAGTTTCTTCTTAATTCCAGGTTGCTCCTCTCTTTGATCAGTTTCCAACCAATGTTTCTCGTCCTTCCCTCTGGTGCTTTGGTGAACAACCTGGCCCCCTCTGCCTTGTGGCAGCCCCTCAGATACTGGAACACTGCTATCATGCCTCCCCTATTTCTTCTTTGGTTGTCCACTCTCTTTTTAAAAGCTTCCATGATGGGGTACCCCAACCTTTGAAGGCAAGCTATTCCCTTGATTGATTTTGGTACTGAGGGAGGCAATGCTTGAGCTCTATAGACTCTGGGGAGCTGTTCCAAGTCAAAATGTTGACCTGGACACAGGATTTGATAAGGTGGGGCTCATTCAGGACTGTATAAAGTTGGATGAGCGCCAAAAATTTCTAGTCATTCTTGATGAAAGGCTCAAAGTTCCATAGTTGAGCACAAAAGGCCAACTGTCTAATAGACTCCACGTTTACTTAAACTCCGAGGTGTTTGTTTAACAAGATTTGTGGTACACGTAATCTTGGATGTAAGCCTTCCCTTGTAAGAGAAATGAAATTACTGGTTGAGCAACTTTAAGCATTTCCTGGGACGATGACAAGGGCTCTTTGGAAGCTACATATGACAGCGGGTGAGAAAATGAAGGATCTCAAGTTTCGTATTCTAGCGATTTGTCCATCCTGAGAAATGTCCCTGGCTCAAGAATGGGTAACATATCTTACCCTTCTAGAACCCCAACATGCATTGAGATTACTGCTCTAGAACCAGTGGTTGATCAAACCATTTTCAAGTTTTAATTAATTGATATCTGATGTATCTGAAGTGTACAGTGATCCTTGACTTAGGACCACCTTTGAGACCAGCATTTCCGTGGCTAAGCAAGGAAGCCGTTAAATGACTTGCACCCGGTTTTTACCATGGTCGTTAAGCAAGTCACTGCTGTTGTTAAATGAATCATGTGGTCATTAAACATATCCCAATTGTCTTTGCTTGTTAGAAGCCATCTGGGGAGGTCATGTTTATGAAGTGTATATTGGAGGTGGTTACCCTTTGAGAGCTGAATGCAACAAAATTTCATTTTAATGCAAGCTGACTAGTGTACATTTAAAGTGACAATAGAGTTATTATTCTATTCTATTCTATTCTATTCTATTCTATTCTATTCTATTCTATTCTATTCTATTCTATTCTATTCTATTCTATTCTGTTCTGTTCTGTTCTATCCTATCCTAACCTAATCTATCCTAACCTATCCTATCATTATTCTATTATGTTCTGTCCTGTCCTGTCCTATCCTATCATTTCCATTCCATTCCATTCCATTCCATTCCATTCCATTATAATTCTATTCTGTTCTGTTCTATTCTATTCTACCCCACTCTACCCTACCCTACCCAACCCTACCCTACCTTATCCTATCCTATCCTATCCTATCCTATCCTATCCTATCCTATCCTATCCTATCCTATCCTATCCTATCCTATCCTATAAATGGTGATTACATGACCTTGGTACACTGCAACTATCATAAATATATGCTGGTTGCCAAATGCCCAAATTCTGATTATGTGTCCATGGGATGCTCCAACAGTCGTAAGTATGAGGATCAGTCATAACTCACTTTTTTCAGTGCCCTTGTAACTTTGAACAGTTACTAAATGAATGGTTATAAATTGTGATTGCTTGTTCCTGTTTGAACTTCTCAAAGCTTGTTCCTCTTTGAACTTCTCAAAAGGTTGGTACCTCTGCCCTATGCCATTTCAGACAAATGGCTGTCCAGTCTCTTATATACAGTATGTTCCAATCTCCCAGAAAGTGCAAAATATGGTTCTGTTTTTACCTGGCTGCTCAGGGTCTTGACTCTCCCCTCGAAAAGGCATCTTGACTTCTTGGACAGCAGTGGAATCATGTGAAGTTGTCTTGGACATGGCAGCTTCTTGTGGCAAAGATATCTGCAGAGGCCACAGAGTTTAAGAGAGAGAAAAGTTACAGCCTTACAAAGTCTTGTAACGTTCACAATGACTATGCTAGAGGACAGAACATGGAATAATAGGACTGGAAGGGATCTTGGAGGTCTTCTAGTCCAACCTCCTGCTCAAGCAGGAGACCCTGTTCCATGCCGGACAAATGGCTGGCCAGTCCCTTCTTGAAAACCTCCAGTGATGGAGCACCCACAACTTCTGGAGGTAAGTGGTTCCAATGATTAATCGTTCTCATTGACAGAAATTTTTTCCTTAACTCTAGGTTGCTTCTCTCTTTAATTATTGTATTCAGGTGAGTGAAAGACGTACCATCTGCATTTGTACCACAGGCCAACTTTGGCTAGTTGGTACAGTAAGCCCTCAATTTAACAGAACTTGGCTTAGCAGACTTCAAATACAATGGACAAAATGTACATCTGGGTTGCATCCCCAAAGCTGAGACTTCTCTCCTACTTGGGGAATGTATAGAACAGGGGTCTTCAAACATCGCTCTTTTATGACTTGTGGACTTCAACTCCCAGAATTCCTCGGCCAGGCATGCTGGCCGAGGAATTCTGGGAGCTGAAATCCACAAGTCATAAAAGGGCCAAGTTTGAAGACCCCTGGTATAGAATGTATAGGCCTTGGAGAAGGTTTGTGAAGAATGAAGGACGATCAGCACCCAGGGAAAGAAAGAAAAAATGAAGGGGAAAAGCTTTAAGCAACATTTAGTTTTGCTGGGTATTTTAATGGAAACACTTTGTCATTGTTTATTTCATTGTTCTATTATTTTACTTCCGTTCTCTTTACACTCTTTTGATTTTTCTTCTTTTTTATTATTGTAAGCCTCCTAGAGTAGCCCCCTGGAAAGGTAGGCGGTAAATAAATTTAACAAATCAAAATAACGAATAAAAATAATGGAGAACCCTTCCCCAGAACACTCTATTAAACTGAGGTGTCACTCTACCTTATTTCCTTTGTCGTGACTTCATTCACAAGGTAAACTCAGATCTTAGTCTATTTTTCAACATATTGAATGAAACTCAAAATTCAGTTAATTCAGTATTAACTGAAGTCGATTCTCAGGGACCATCAAGACTTTAGTGTAGCATAATGGCCTCCTAATCAAACCTTAGTTAGGCCAACGCTATTAACAGGCAAGTGTAATTGTAAGCCATTATAAGTGGCCTCAAAATACAGGTAGTCCTCAACTTATGGCCACATTTAAGGCCAAAATTGATGTCGCTAAGTGAGTTGTGCCCCATTTTATGAGCTTTTGACATGGTTGTTAAGCGAATTGTGTAGTTCTTAAGTGAATCTGACTCTCCCCATTGACTTTGTTTGTAGGAAGCCAGCTGGGTGGGTTACAAATAGTGATCACATGACCCCAATACAGTGCAACGGTCATAAATATGAGTCAGTTGCCAAGCACCCGAATTTTGATTACATGACTAATGAGTTACTGCAATGGTCATATGTGTAAAAACCGGTCATAAGTCCTTTTTTTCAGTGCCGTTGTAACTTCGAACGGTCACTAAACAAATCGTTATAAGTCAAGGACTAGCATTATGTGTGAATTCTGTGTTTCCCCGAAAATAAGACCCAGATGGAAAATAAACCCTAGCATGACTTTTCAGGATGCTCGTAATAGAAGTCCCACCCCAAAAATAAGCCCCAGTTAAGACTGTCAGTCAGACGGACGCATTTAGTTCCGTATTTTCCCCAAAATAAGACCTACCTGAAAAATAAGCCCTAATGCGTCTTTTGGAGCAAAAATTAATATAAGATCCAGGAAAACACAGTAGCTGAATACACAGAGGAAATGGTTGGGGCAGAAATAGCTGCAGAAAAGACATAGAGATGGAAAATATATTTCTTACCGGAGAAACTGCTCTAATTTCCTTGGCTCCAGCCGTGAACTGTCCCAGTTGTTGGCTCCTGTAATGCTGCTTCTGGATTATACCAAGCCAGCTGGATAAAGTGGTTTTCGGAACAACAGACTCTTCATTCTCATCTCTGCCTGGACTTCGCCTTTCACGTTTCACTGAGCACTGATGCCAGTTGGTGCCACTTTCTCTACCCCTTCCGTAATCCGATAAATCCAGAGGCATTTCGGCGGAATTGTCCTGCCCAGATGTGGTTTTCTCTCCTTGATCCAGGTTTTCTCTATTGACCTGGAACAGCTGCTCCAGTGTATCGTCCATCAAATCTTTGGGGCTGGCTCTTTCCTTTTTTCCTTCTTTGCCAACACTTGGCAGCGTGGAAGGGCTCTGGCACCAAGATTGATCTGAACTGTCCTCTCTTCTTCCTTTCCCTTCGTGCTGCGGCTGCATCAACAAACAGCGGAGTCTCTCTGAGCTGCTAAGAAGCTGGAGCCTGTTTTCCAGATGACGATCCTTCATGTACAGCACAGCGCCAGGGAGTTCCAAGATGGTAGCTTGGTCGTCCCACTCATCCTGGGGCTTCACTCGGCTGCCTGCTTCCTTAGCCAGGAATAGATGGTGAGGGAAATCGCCCTCTTTGCCGGTGGGGTTATTCCGGAGGCCAAGATGATGCAGGGCTAAACTTTGGTTGAAGAGGTAGAGCTGTTCTTTTTTGGTGGTAAACCTCAGGTTCTCACAAGAAGAGGGGGAGGCCCGGCAGTCTGACTTGTTGGGTCTTAGAAATCTAAAAGAATCAGCACCGTCAGCGCTTGGAAAACGGACTGCCAAGATTTCATCGTTGTAAGCAGCTCCGGTTCTTCCGTAGGGGACCTAGCACAGGTAGTCCTTGACTTACGACCATAATGAGCCGAGGTGGCGCAGCAGTTAGAGTGCAGTACTGCAGGCCACTTTAGCTGACTGTGTTCAGCAGGTCAGCGGTTCAAATCTCACCGGCTCAAGGTTGACTCAGCCTTCCATCCTTCCGGGGTAGGTAAAATGAGGACCCAGATTGTTGGGGGCAATGTAAATATATATATATACATTGCTTCCTGGTGTACACCGCTTAGAGAGTGCTTGCACTTAAAGCGGTATATAAGTCTCATAAATAAAATAAATAAATAAATAAATAATCGGGACCAGAATTTCCGTGGCTAAGCAAGGCAGTTGTTAAATGAGTTGCATCCGATTTTCTAACCCTGTCTGACGTTAAACGGATCGCTGAGGCTGTTCAGTGAAAAGCGCGCAATCCTGCCCCCCCCCCATTGATTTTGGGAAGGTCGCAGATGGCGATCATGTGACCCTGGGATGCTGCAACTCTCCTAAATACATGCCGGTTGCCAAATGCCCCAATTTTGATCCTGTGGCCATGGGGATGCTGTGAAGGTCGTAAGTCATATTTTTCAGGGCTGCTGCAACTTTGAATGGTCGCTACATGAACAGTTGCAAGTCAAGGACTACTTACACTTTTCATTGATAAAGCTAATCGGAAGAATTTCCTGCCCCGTGGAGGGCAAGCACAGTAGCTCCCTCCCAATTTATAAAAGCTGCCTGACTTTTTTCAGGGGTCTCTCTCTGAGCCAGAGAAAAAGATGTCACTATTTTAAGAGTCAGTCTAAATTTAAAGAGTCAACTTCTTTAGCAATAGGGCAGCATTTCCCTGGCTTGCCTGAAGCTGAGATGGTGGCTTTAAAGAGGGACGGAGGCCTTGCACAGATCCAAAGCACTTAAGAGAATAACAGAGTTGGAAGGGACTTTGGAGATCTTCTAGTCCAACCCCCTGCTCAATACCACCCTATACCATTTCAGACAAATGGTTATCCAATCTCTTCTTAAAAACCTCCAGTGATGAAAGCACCCACAACTTCCAGAGGCAGGTTGTTCCACTGACTGTCAGGAAATTTCTCCTTAACTCTAGGCCAGTGGTTCTCAACCTTTTTAATGCTGCGACCCCAACCAGTCGTACGTCGAGGACTACTCAACTAGTCGTAAGTCGAGGACTACTCAATTGGTGCAGCACCGTTTGCAGAATGGGACTTTTGGCGGGCTCAGCAGGGCAGAGACAGCCTGGACAATTCCTATTGGCTTTTGAAAGCCAATAGAATTAGACTCTATTCAAGAGAGTCTATTCTATTGGCTTTCAAAAGCCAATAGAATAAAAGGGAGTAGCACAGCTAAGGAAAAGGGGGAAAAAATGGCGGATTGCGTTGTTTGGCGACCCCTGTGAAATGGTTGTTCGACCCCAAATGGGATCCCAACCCTCAGGTTGAGAACCACTGCTCTAGGCTGCTTCTCTCCTTAATTAGTTTCCATCTGTTACTTCTTGTCCTGCCTTCAGGTGCTTTGGAGAATAGGTTGACCCCCTCTTCTTTGGGGCAGCCCCTGAGATATTGGAACCCTGCTATCATGTCACCCTTAATCCTTTTCATTAAACTAAACATGCCCAATTCTAGAACCGTTCCTTGTAAGTTTTAGCCTCCAGTCCCCTGATCATCTTTGTTGCTCTTCTCTGCACTCTTTCTGGAGTCTCAACATTTTTTTTATATCGGGGCGACCAAAACTGGATGCAGCATTCCAAGTCTGGTGTTACCAAGGTATTATAAAATGGTATTAAGATTTTGCGTGATCTTGATTCTATGCCTCTGTTAACGCATACTTCTCTTTTTTAAACCATGCACAGCCCTAGTGTAAATTACACACACACGCATACACACCCAAACACACATGGCCAACCCCAGTTTAGCCCCTACTAATCTAATTCTTTTCTAAAGTCTAAATTTTCGAAATGTCTAAAAAATTGGAGGGATAACCGCTTACGCTTCAAAGCTGGGACTTTGGTCGCACTGAGGAGATGGTGGTCTTTTGCTTGGAAGGGGCGGGGATCCACTTTCTGGGTAATCTCTTTCTTGAGAGGAGGTTCGGGATCCTGTTCTCATCAGCTCAATGGCTCCTTGCAATTGGTTGACTTTCTTCGGAGAGCTCTAAAAAACAGAGAAGGGAGAGAGGGATAGGCAAGGACAATAAAACTTCAATTTTTGGGCCTGATAGAAGATTGTAGATCAGGTTTGAATTATAGTATCCTCGGTGCTCTCTGAGCTTGGTTGTTTCCTTGCAGACATTTCATTGCCCTAGTACAGTGGTTCTCAACCTGTGGGTCGGGACCCCATTTGGGGTCGAACGACCATTTCACGGGGGTCACTAAACAACGCAGTCCGCCATTTTTTCCCCCTTTTCCTTAGCTGTGCTACTCCCTTTTATTCTATTGGCTTTTGAAAGCCAATAGAATAGACTCTCTTGAATAGAGTCTAATTCTATTGGCTTTCAAAAGCCAATAGGAATTGTCCAGGCTGTCTCTGCCCTGCTGAGCCCGCCAAAAGTCCCATTCTGCAAACGGTGCTGCACCAGTTGAGTAGTCCTCGACTTACGACCGGTTGAGTAATCCTCAACTTACGACCGGTTGGGGGTCGCGGCATTAAAAAGGTTGAGAACCACTGCCCTAGTAGGTAACCTCATCAGTGCTAGAAGGGAGTGGGGTTTGCTCTGTTTATATATAGTAGTTTGCCTGTTAATGTTATTGGGAGTGTTCTTGGTGGTTTCTTGATTAGGCTGCTATTTACTGATAGATTGCTTGTCTACCAAGCTCCTGGATGGGGGTATTCTTTACTCATTGATCTAGTTCTGTGGTGGCGAACCTATGGCACGTGTGCCACAGGTGGCACGCAGAGCCCTCTCTGTGGCACATGCGCTGTTGCCCCAATCCTAGGCCTTCAGCTGGGTTTTAGAAAACCTTTTCGCTTTAGGCCTCCACCGGCGTGTGCAAAAAAAAAAAAAAAAAGTTTCAATCAATCAATCAATTTCAACTTCTCACGGGGAAAAAAAAAAGATCTCGCAAAGTTGGAATTTATTGATTGAACTTTTTAGTCCCACCCAGTCTGCCGTTACCACTGCAGCCATGCCCACCTAATAGGCCACACCCACCCAATGGGCCACGCTCACCCAATGGGTCACACCCATCCAATGGGCCACGCTCACCCGGCATCCGACGATAAATAAGTGGGTTTGGGGTTGCAGTTTGGGCACTCCGTCTCTAAAAGGTTTGCCATCACTGATCTAGTTGGTCTAGTATTAATTTAAAGTAAACCCCGCTCCCTTCTAGCTCTGATGATGTTACCTAGTTTGGTTATGAAATGTATGCAAGAAGATGAACAAGCTGAGAGAGCACCAAGGACCCCATACTTTAACGGACTTTAGAAGCAATGAACCAAGTCTGAATTTAAAATAGAAATGTACATAACATTAATTCCCTCTTAAAATCATGTGGTTTTTATGTAAGTCATATATATAGGTTGTCACTTGAAGAACTCTGATGGACAGGGTCCAGGAAGAGAGCCTTCCTTGCCCTTCCCCCACCCTTTGGAACACCCTCCCCCCAGAGATGAGACAGTTCGCAACTCACATGGCCTTCCGAAAAGCCGTCAGAACACGGGTCTGTAAACTGGCATGGGGGGGTCAGAGGAGCTGGGCAGCTGTGGGGCTGGTTAGTCCCCTGAGAGTCCTCCCTTCCCCTTTTAAATAATTTTAGCAGCGTTTAATCATCCTTATCTCCTTCTAAATTTTTAATCACTGTTTTTATAATTTATCCCTTTACTGTACTCTACCCAGAGTCCCACTCTGAGGGAGATGGATGGTTCAAAAACATGATAGATAAATGATTATGATAGATGGATAGATGGATGGATGGATGGATGGATGGATGGATGGATGGATGGATAGATGGATGGATGGATGGATGGATGGATGGATAGATAGATAGATAGATAGATAGATAGATAGATATAAATAGATAAACTGAGACACAGATGATGGATGGATGAAGATAAATAGATGATAGATGGATGGATGGATGGATAGAGATAGATGATCATGATAGATTAGAGCAGACATGTCAAAATCATGACGTCACATGATGTCGCGCAACGTTATCGGAGCTTTTTCGCCATTGCTGGCAATGGGGTGGGTGTAGTTTCCCGATGATGCATCTGGCCCGTAGGCTGGCAGTTTGACACCCCTGGATTAGATGGATGGATAGATAGAGATGATAGATGATAGATAGATAGATAGATAGATAGAGAGAGAGAGAGAGACAGATGAATGAATAGAGATAGATAGAAACAGATAAATGATAGATAGATAGATAGATAGATAGATAGATAGATAGATAGATAGATAGATAGATAAGATACAAACAGAATAATAATAGATAGATGATAGACAGACAGACAGACAGACAGACAGGAGAATGAACAGAGATAGACATAGATTAGCTAGATATATGACATATGGATAAATGGATAGATAGAAATAGATAGATAGATAGATAGATAGAAATAGAGAGACAGAGAGACAGACAGATTGATAACCATTTCCTTCTTCCCTATGAGATATGACAAGGGTTACTTTTTCATCTCCTCCCTACAGGTTTTTTTCTTGGAGGCTGAGAATGAAAATGGTTTCATTAGTTGAATTTGGGTGTCCCCCTGGCATGTTTGCCTGTTGGGGTGAATTTAACCCTGGGAGTGCCTGCATCTGGTTTGGGTTAAAAATAACCCTCTGGGATTACAGTAGTTGACTAGGTCAGTTAATTAACCCAGTTTTGCTGTCCCTATAATACGTTATCTCCCAAGTGATCCAATTAGGTAAGTTATAAGAACAGAGCCATTAAATTAGAAAAGTCCAAGGAGACCAGCTCATCACACATATAAATAGATCACTTTGAAGGCTGCAGTCAGAAGAATTTGGCAAGCCAAATTCTCCAGCTTGTATAAAACAGGAACATTAAACATAATTGCTTATGAAACATAAGGTTAATAATTTGGCAGATAGTCAACATTTTTTTACACAGAAGCCCGTGACTTGATTTCTTTTCTCTCTTCATTTAGGTCAGGGGTGTCCAACCTTGGCGACTTTAAGACTTGTGGACTTCAACTCTCATGCTGACTAGGGAATTCTGGAAGTTGGACTTCCAGACTTAAGTGCCACAGGACTTAAAGTTGGACACCCCTGATCTAGGCTGTTTCCAGCTAATAATTTAGATTTTCATCTTCAGGAGACCTTTTAGCCCAAAGTCAAGAAATGGAGGTAGTGACAGATTTTATTTTTCTGGCCTCAAAGATCACCTCAGATGGGGACTGCAGCCAAGAAATTAAAAGACGCTTGCTCCTGGGAAGGAAAGCTATGGCAAATCTAGACAGCATTCTAAAAAACAGAGACATCACCATGTCAACAAAAGTGAATATAGTCCAGGCCATGATTTTCCCAGTTGCAATGTATGGCTGTGAAAGTTGGACCATAAGAATGGCTGAGCGCAAAAGAATTGAGGCCTTTGAACTATGGTGCTGGAGAAGACTCCTGCGAGTCCTTTGGACTGCAAGGCGTTCAAACCGGTCAGTCCTAGAAGAGATCAACCCTGTCTGCTCTTTAGAAGGCCAGATCCTGAAGTTGAAACTCAAGTACTTTGGCCACCTAATGAGAAGGAAGGATTCATTGGAGAAGAGCCTAATGCTGGGAAAGATGGAGGGCAGTAGAAGAAGGGGACGACAGAGAATGAGATGGCTGGATGGAGTCCCTGAAGCAGGAGGTGTGAGCTTAAATGGACTCCAGAAGATGGTAGAGGAAGGCCTGGAGGAACGTTGTCCATGGGGTCGCGATGGGTCGGACACGACTTCGCAATTAACAACAACAAGAATTGAATGTGAGGAAGGAAGACAAAAAGAAAAAAGAAAAGAATAAAGAAAAAAGACAAGGGTCAGACAGGGAATTGTTTACCATATCAAGAGCATGGTCCCCCCGGAGAAGGATGTTAGGAGAGATTCTGCTTTCTGGAGAAAATCTGTGTTCAGGAGACTGATCTGTAACAAGAAAGGACCACAAACACTTACTTCAGACAACGTAGTGCTGCAAATGGAGACTTTTCTCTTCTTAAACTGCAAACCATTCTTCCCAACACGGATCTCTCTGGATCCACTGACAATCCAGCTCCTAAAATTGCTAACCAACATGACCACCCATAAGATATACTGGAAATTCTGGGAGTTTTAGTCCCAATCCACTGGGAAGGCACTAAGTACAATGGATCCATTTGGCTCAGTACCAGTAATCCTCGACTTACAACCACAATCGGGATTTGAATTTGAGCCCTGCCTGATTTTTCATGATCTTTTTTTTGCCACAGTTGTTAAGCGAATCACTGCAGTTGTTACGCAATTCATGTGGTTGTTAAGCAAATCCAGCTTCTCCTGTTGGCTTTGTTTGTTGGAAGCCAGCTGGGAAGGTCGCAAACGGAGAGCACGTGAGCCTTGGACACTGCAACCGCCGCAAGTACAAGCCAGTTGCCAAACACCCAAATCTGGCATGTTGTAAGTCACCCAGAGTCACGTGTCTGCCAGACAGGTGGCATATACGTTCAATTAATAAAATAATAAAATCGAAATAAATAATACATTTGAACAACTAAATAAATACATTGTCATCATGTGACCATGGGAATGCTGTGATCGTTTTAAGCGTGAAGGCCAGCCGTAAGTAACTTTTTTCGGTGCCCTTGTAACTTCAAATGGTCACTAAATGAATGGTTGTAAGTCAAGGACTACCTGTACCACTGATTCTGATTGAGAGCAACAGGGCATGGTTTTTGGCAAAAAAAAATTTCCCAGGATTTCCTGAAGAAGTGACTTAAATCTGGGCTCTCTGACATGTAAAGCAGGGAAATAGAACAGAACAAAACAGAACAAGAATAGAATAGAATAGAATAAAATAGAATAGAATAGAATAGAATAGGACTGGAATGGAATGGAATGGAATGGAATAGAATAGAATAGAATAGAATAGAATAGAATAGAATAGAATAGAATAGAATAGGACTGGAATGGAATAATAATGGAATTGAATAGAACGGAAGGGAACAGAACAACAGAACAGAATAGAACAGAATCGAATAATAATGGAATGGAATGGAATGGAATGGAATGGAATAGAATAGAATAGAATAGAATAGAATAGAATAGAATAGAATAGAATAGAATAGAATAGAATAGAATAGGACTGGAATGGAATAATAATGGAATGGAATAGAAGGGAAGGGAAGGGAACAGAACAACAGAACAGAACAGAACAGAATAGAACAGAATAGAATAATAATAGAATGGAATGGAATGGAATGGAATAGAGTAGAATGGAATGGAATGGAATAGAATAGAATAGAATAGAATAGAATAATAATGGAATGCAATAGAATAATAGTGGAATGGAATAGAAGGGAAAGGAAGGGAAGGGAAAGGAAGGGAACAGAATAGAACAGAACAGAATAGAATAATGGACTGGACTGGACTGGAATAGAATAGAATAGAATAGAATAGAAAACAGAGTTGGAAGGGACCTTGGAGGTCTTCTAGTCCAACCCCTGCTCACGCAGGAAACCCTATACCATTTCAAACAAATGGTTGTCCAATCCAATATCCTAAGGTAGTGTCTCTCTTCTGCTGGATGTTCTACTAGGCTCCAGATCTAGAACTGACTGAAGAGCAAACTGGGTCCAGTTTGCAGGAGAACCTGCCTCCTTCCAGTGTCTCGTGATATTCGTCTTCTGTTTCTGGGCTCAGGTTTCCCCCTGCACTCAGTTTCCTGCTTCGGCTGGAGAGGATGGACAAAGACAAGTCTGGGGTGAAGTTTCCTTCTCTGGGCTGCCCTTTGAAAGCCTTCGGCCTGTCCCTGTTGCCGCACAGAGGAAACAAAGATGAAAACAAAGATGAGACGAGAGAGGGTTTCAAGGCATCCGTCTGGATATCTCGCGTGGTTTTGATAACCGCTCTGGAAATAAAATAAAAATAAACCAGAAGCCAGGCGTCTTTGGCACCGGACCACTTGAGAACACCACACCGTAAAATATCCCAGATCAAATATGAGGATTTTGCTTTTATCCTGGTTTATTCATGCCACATTTATGTCTCTTGCAAGTGGTGGCATCGAGTGCAGCAAAGCATTTTATGGAGATGTGTTGGTTGAGCGGGGACCCATGATGTCAGAGAGAAAACTTGAAGAGTCTGGTATTTTTATTATTGTCACATGACTGAGCCAACTTTATAACAGTGGTCAAGTTGGCTCAGTCGTAAGTACGTGCAGGTAGTCCTCAACTTACAATTCTTTTGGTGATCATTTGTAGTTACAACGGCACTGAACAAAGTGACTTATGACTATTTTTCATGTTACCACCATTGCAGCATCCCATGGTCATGTGATCAAAATTCAGAGGCTTAGCAACTGGCATGTATTTATGACAGTTTCAGTGTCCCAGGGTCACGTGATCACCTTGTGCAACCTTCTGACAAGCAAAATCAATGGGGAAGCTAGATTCACTTAACAACCGTGTCACTAACTTAACAACTGGAATGATTCACTTAACAACTGTGGCAAGGAAGTTGTAAAAGGGGGCAAAACTCACTTAACGAATGTCTCACTTAGCAACCAAAACGTTGAGCTCAAGTGCGATCATATGTGTAGGACTATGGTTACGTCTTTGGCTTGTATGTTATCTCAATTTAATTCTAAGTGGTTTACAAACCCTATTTTCATTAATCAGGTTAAAAAGGCCCTACGCCAAGAATAAAAAATGCAATGCAAATATAGCGCAGGTAGTCCCCAACTTGCCACAATTGAGCCCAAAATTTATGTTGTTAAGTGAGAAATTTGGTAAGTGAGTTTTAACCCGTTTTGTGATTTTTCCTGCCATGTTTGTTAAGCACATCACTGTAGTTGTTAAATTAGTAACAGAGTTGTTAAGTGAATCTGACTTCCCCATTGACTTTGCTTGTCAGAAGGTCACAAAAGGGGGTCACATGATTCAAAGACATTGCAACCGTCCTAAATGTGAATCAGGGCACAGATGGTAGTCACATGACTATGGGATGCTATGACCTTGTGGGATTTGCCCTACAACAGCAACTGAGACTACCATAACTACTGTTGTAAAGTTGTCTCAGTCATGTGACATTAGGCTTTATGACCCCAATGCTTAGCGATACAGTAGTAGTCCTTGACCATTTTAGTGACCGTTCAAAGTTACAAAGGGACTGAAAAAAGTGATTAATGCCCATTTTTCACACTTATGACCATTGTAGCATGGTCACATGATCAAAATTCAGAGGCTTGGCAACTGCCTTGTATTTATGATGGTTGCAGGGTCACGATCCCATCTCAAGACAGGTGATTGTCCAGTCTCTTCTTAAACACCTCCAGGGATGGAGCGCCCACGATTTCTGGAGGCAAGCTGTTCCACTGGCTAATTCTCCTCACTGTCAGAAAGTTTCTCCCTAATTCCAAGTTGCTTCTCTTTTTGATCAGTTTCCAACCATTGTTTCTCGTCCTGCCCTCTTGTGCTTTGGTGAATAACGTGACCCCCTCTGCCTTGTGGCAGCCCCTCAGATACTGGAACACTGCTATCATGTCTACCCTATTTCTTCTTTTCTTTAGACTAGCCAAACCCAAGTCCCGCAGCCGTTCTTCGAATGTTTTGGTCTCCAGGCCTTGGAACATTGTAGTTGCTCTTCTCTGAATTTTTTCCAAACTCTCCACATCTTTTTTGTGATATGGTGTCCAAAATTGGCTGCAGTATTCCAGGTGTGGCCTTATTAGGGCTGATCTTACTTTGGTTTTACCCTTGAAAGGCCTTTGACAGGTTAACTGTTTTCTCACTATAGCCTCACCTAGAGCAGAGAGGACTGCGATCAAGTTCAGGACAAAACAAGCATGGTAATCAGGAAGGAACACTTTCTTCACTGCCAGATTTGCATTTCGAGAGGTTTCCTCATGCTAAATTTAAATACAGCAATAGTGCCATCTGCTGACAGTTGAAGTCACTTTCTAGATCTAGAACATAGAATGAAGGTAGTCCTTGACTTACAACAGGGGTCGGCCATCTTGGCTCTTTTATGACTCGTGGACTTCAACTCCCAGAATTCCTGAGCCAGCATGGGGGAACTACGGCCCCCTCATGACTCGTGGACTTCAACAACTCCCAGAATTCCTGAGCCAGCATGAGGGAACTACGGCCCCTTCATGACTGGTGGACTTCAACTCCCAGAATTCCTGAGCCAGCATGGGGGAACTATGGCCCCCTCATGACTCATGGAATTCAATTCCCAGAATTCCTGAGCCAGCACGGGGGAACTATGGCCCCCTCATGACTCGTGGACTTCAACTCCCAGAATTCCTGCGCCAACATGGCTCAGCTTGGAAACCTCTCTCTTTCCCCTCAGCATGGCTGGCTCAGGAATTCTGGGAGTTGAAGTCCACCAGTCATAAAAGAGCCAAGGTTGCTTACCCCTGACTTATGACAACCATTGAGCCCAAAATTTCTGTTGTTAAGGGAGACATTGGTTAAGAGAGTTTTGTCTTGTGTTGTGACATTTCTCATCACAGTTGTTAAGTGAATCACTGCAGTTGTTCAGTTAGTAAGCTGGTTGTGAAGTGAATCCGGTTTCCCTATTGACTTTGCTGGTCAGATGGTCCCAAAAGATGATTACATGATCCCGGGACACTGTGACCGTCATAAATATGAACCAGTTACCAAGCATCCAGAGTTTTGATCACATGATCATGGGGATGCTGCAAAGATTGTAACTGTGAAAAATAGTCATAAATCACTTTTTTCAGTGCCGTTGTAACTTTGAATGGTCACTAAGCGAACTGTTGTAAGTCAAGGACTATCTGTAATAGGGTTGGAAGGGACCTTGGAGGTCTTCTACTTCAGCTCCCTGCTCAAGCAGGAAACTCTATACCAGGGGTAGGCAACCGTGGCTCTTTTATGACTCGTGGACTTCAACTCCCAGAATTCCTGAGCCAGCCATGCTGAGGGAAAAGGGAGAGGCTTCCAAGCTGAGCCATGCTGGCTCAGGAATTCTGGGAGTTGAAGTCCACGAGTCATAAAAGAGCCAAGGTTGCCTACCCCTGCTCTATACCATTGTGGACAAAAGGCTATCCAGTCTCTTCTTGAAAACTTTCAGTGATGGAGCACCCACAACTTCTGGAGGCAAGTTGTTCCACTGATTAATTGTTCTCACTGTCAGGAAATTTCTCCTTAGTTCTAGGTTGGTTCTCTCCTTGATTAGTTTCCATCCATTACTTCTTCTCCTGCCCTGAGATGCTTTGGAGAGCAGGTCATCCTTCTCTGTGACAGCCACTCAATATTAGAAGATTGCTATCATATCAACCCTCATCCTTCTCTTTGTAGACACACCTAATTCCCACAAACAATTTAGCCTCCAGATCCCTTATCTTCTTTGTTGCTCTTCTCTGCAGTCTTCCTAGGGTTTCAGCATTTTTTTTTATATTTATAGTATATTTATGGCTGGGAAGCCATAAATTATCACCAATGCCTTGGAATGTCAACAGCATTAAATAAATGAATGCTGAAGTCATCTTTGGAGAAGACCCATGAAATCTTCTCGGATAGTTTATATATCACGGTTATACTGCCAGCCATTCTGGCTTCCCAGAACTAAAACAAACTTTATTGTAAAAAAGCCAAAGGAGATAATGAAAAACTTGAGCAACTTTCAAGGACAAGGACCAAAATGGCAAGTTTAGGATAGAGATAAGCTGAGGGGTCCTTGGTGCTCTCTGAGCTTGCTTGTTTTCTTGCAGACGTTTCATTACCCAAACTAGGCATAGCACTGATGATGTTACCTAGTTTGGGTAATAAAACGTCTGCAAGAAAACAGGCTAGCTCAGAGAGCACCTCATGTCAACCCTGAGCTACAAAAATCCCCCCCCACATGAATTTTGCCCGTGTGATTGTGGGGATGCTGTGATCGGCGTGTGAGAATTGTCATTTTTTTCCAAGTCATTTGACTTGACATTGTTAAATCAAGTCATTTTTACAGTGAAGGGTCCTGTGCACTGTCTGAGCATTGTTGTTTTCCTGTGGACGTTTCATTATTCAAACTAGATGTAGTACTGCTATAGCACTGATGATGTTACCTAGTTAGGGTAATGAAACGTCTGCAAGAAAACAAGCAAGCTCAGAGAGCACCAAGGACCCCACAGTCGTTGTCGTCTTCGTCCTCCTCCTCCTCCTCCTCCTCCTCACAAACACCCTCCCTTGTGGTACTGATGATGTTACCTAGTTGGGCAATGAAATGTCTGCAAGAAAACAACCAAGCTCAGAGAGCACCAAAGACCCCCACAGTCCTCCTCCTCCTCCTCCTCCTCCTCCTCCTCCTCCTCCTCCTCCTCCTCCTCCTCCTCCTCCTCCTTCTCACAAACACCCTCCCTTTTGGTATTGATGATGTTACCTAGTTGGGCAATGAAACGTCTGCAAGAAAACAACCAAGCTCAGAGAGCACCAAGGACCCCATAGTCGCCGTCCTCCTCCTCCTCCTCCCAAACACCCTCCCTTCTAGCACTGATGATATTACCTAGTTGGGTAATGAAACATCTGCAAGAAAACTGCCAAGCTCAGAGATCACCAAGGTCCCCACAGTCCTTCTCCTCCTCACAAACACCCTCCCTTCTGGCACTGATGATATTACCTAGTTAGGGTAATGAAACATCCGCAAGAAAACAAGCAAGCTTAGAGAGCACCAAGGGGCCTTCATTTCAACCCTCAGCTGCAAATATTCTCCTTCATTGGCATTTTTACAATGCTCTTGCAACTTGGAACAGTTGTTAATCGAATGGTTGTAAGTAGAGAACTACCTATACTTAACCCATTTTCCAGATAGTTAACAGAAAAGCCAAACACTAGTGCTAAACACTCACTTGAACACCTGCATTAGACAATCTCTCAGAAAATTAGATACAGGTAGTCATCGACTTAAATCCATAGCTGAGCCCAAAATTTCCATTGCTAAGCAAGATAAGTGTTAAGCCAGTTTTGCCCCCATTTTATGGCCTTTCTTGACTAGTTGTTAGGTGAATCACTGCAGTGGTTAAGTTAGTAACATGGTTGTTAAGTGAATCTGGCTTCCCCGTTGACTTTGCTGGTCAGAGGTGATCACGTGACCCTGGGACACTGCAACTGTCATAAGTACATGCCAGTTGCTAAGTGTCTGAATTTTGATCATGTGACTCTAGGGAGGCTGCAATGGTAGTCAGTGTGAAAAATGGTTCAAGTCCCTTTTTTCAGTGTTGTTGTAACTTCGAGTGGTCACTAAACAACGGGTTGTAGGCTGAGGACTGCGTATGTCAAGATGTAGAATCCTTTCTGATCCACTAGATTTCTTCAGGGCAGACGTTTGAGTACTCTGTTTTGGAGCCTTTAGGCAAGTTCTCATTTGCAGGCTAAAATATATGGTCCAACTACAGGTTTTTCTATTTGTGGGAGGACTTATCCTCTTTCTGAACAGAACCAGGACATTTTCTTCTCCAGTAATGGAACATGAAGCCTACCAGAAGCTCCTGAGATCCTTCAGATCCATCTTGCTTTGAACTTCTCAGTGTGCAGAGCTGAAATCTAATTGGCCAAGGAACCTTAGACGTTTCTCCGACCTTCTCAAGACATATCACCTTTCTGGGAGAAAAGCCTACTGGGATAGCCCACCTTTGCTAGGAAGACATCAGCCATATTGGTTTGTCTTACAAGTATCCCAAACACCAAGAGATAAAGTTAGGAAAGCTTACTCTGGGCCACATAACCTCTTCAGCTCTTCTTTCAGGCTCTTGTTTTCTTCTCTCAGCTTATTCATTTCATTAGCTGGAATGGGGAAAAAGGAGGAAAATATTGAATTAGATCAACTTTCCCTGGCCCAAAACTTCTGACAGGGAGAACAACCAACCAGTGGAATAGTTTGCCTGCAGAAGTTGTGAATGCTCCAACACTGGAAGCTTTCAAGAAGAGACTGGACAGCCATCTGTCAGAAATGGTCTAGGGCAGGGGTAGGCAACCTTGGCTCTTTTATGACTCGTGGACTTCAACTCCCAGAATTCCTGAGCCAGCCACGCTGAGGGGACAAGGAGAGGTTTCTAAGCTGAGCCACGCTGGCTCAGGAATTCTGGGAGTTGAAGTCCATGAGTCATAAAAGAGGCAAGGTTGCCTACTGCTGGTATAGGGTCTCTTGCTTAAGCAGGGGGTTGGACTAGATGATCTATATGGTCCCTTCCAATTCTGTTATTTTATTCTATAGCTTATGGCTGAGATGGTGTCAAGGTTATATCAGACGAGAACATATATGTCACAGGCCCAGGGCTACCAGGTATCTGAACAGTCAGAGGAAGTCATGGACAATTGGACAGAAGGACGCACCAACTGTCTAACATTCTTTGCATCTGTCACAAAACTTACAATGAAAAATTACCAACCCTCCCCCCTATAAATCTACAAGTGTAATACAAGAAATGGTATTTTTCATCATCAGCAAAAGTGGTTTCTGATACTATACATATTGTAGGATCCAATCTGGGTCAGTCACCAGGATCAGAAGTTAGTCTTCTGAGCTTTCGGACTTGTTTTGGAGCCCCTCCTGGTGAGAGAGAAGTTTCCCTGAGGATGGAGTCCGAAAGCTCAGAAGACTAAACCCCTGGTCCCGGTGACTGACCTAGACTGGATCCTGCAACATTATCCCAGGACACGTCTATTTGCCTTCATTTGTGACGACAGGAAGTCCTTGACGTACGACCACAATTGAGTGCAAAATTTCTGTTGCTTAGGGAGACCCTTGTTACATGAGTTTTCTTGCCATGATTGTTAAGTGAATCACTGCAGTTGTTAAGTTAGAAACAGAGTTGTAAAGTCAATCTGGCCTCCCCATTGAGTTTAGTTGTCAGAACATTGAGAACAACTAACCAGTGGGATAAATTGCCTCCGGAAGTTGTGCGTGCCCCATCACTGGAGGCTTTTAAGAAGGACTGGACAGCCATTTGTCTGAAAAAATATAGGGTCTCTTAAACAAGGGGTTGGACTAGAAGTCCTCCAAGGTCCCTTCCAACTCTGTTATTCTATGTGCAGATCACAAAAGGTGATCACATGATCCCGGAACACTGCAACCGTCATAAATATGAGCCAGTTACCATGCATGTGAATTTTGTTCATATGGCCATGGGGACGCTGTAATGGTTGTTAGTGTGAAAAAATGGTCATCAGTCATGTTGTAACTTCAAACGGTCATTAAATGAACGGTTGTAAGTTAAGGACTACCTTTACCCATATTGTATACAAGTCTGCAAAAAGTCTTCAAAAATTTTCAACCGGAGAATCTTCCGTGTTTCTATTCAATCTAATCTAGGTATTTATTTGTTGAACTTACTGAGGATGAAGATGTGTTGAAGAGTTTGAAAATGGGCCTTCATGAACTCATGTTGCTTCTTCTTTGCAAGTTCCTGAGTCACTTGGCATCTGTCGCACAGCCCAGCTCGCAACCTTCAAAGTAATAAAAATAGCAGTGTGACATTTTTAGAGCACCAAAACCAGTTGGGAGCAGACATTCCAAACCAACCCCACTGTCAGTACTTCAAGCTAGACCAGACTTGGAAACCAAATTCATAAAAGCTAATACTACTTTTATTATAAGGTTCCAGTAATAGAATCTTGCAAGTCTGAATGTGCTTCCCTCCTCCCTCTGTTTATTTTTGGTGAAAATTGGGGAGGGTCTCATCTACGACACTTTCTCGAATTACATTTCTGCCTCGAACTCAAATTTCTGTTCTCCGACCTACTAGACCAGGGATAGGCAACCTTGGCTCTTTTACGACTTGTGGACTTCAACTCCCAGAATTCCTGAGCCAGCCATGCTGAGGGGAAAGGGAGAGGTTTCCAAGCTGAGCCATGCTGGCTCAGGAATTCTGGGAGCTGAAGTCCATGAGTCCTGAAGGGGCCAAGGTTGTCTACCCCTGTTCTAGACACTGGCTCTTCCTCTTGTTCCTCAAGGTTATTTCTTTCAGCCCACTTTGGGGTTCATACTTTTTCAGAATTATTATTTATTTGGCCATAACTTATAAAAAAATGGTTAGGAGACTGGAGGCAAAAAACCTTATGAAGAATGGTGGCAGGAATTAGATATGTCTACTCTAACAAAGAGAAGGACTATGGGTGAGATGAGAGCAGTCTTCCAACATTTGAAGGGCTGTCACAGAAAAGAAGAGATCAACTTATTCTCCAATGTACCTGAGAGAAGGACAAGAAGTAGCAGGTGAAAGTTTATCAAAGAGAGGTCCAATTTAGAACTAAGGAGAAACTTCCTAACAGTGAGAACAATTAATTAGTGGAACAACTTGACCCCCAAAAGTGTGGATGCTTCATCACTGGAGGTTTTCAAGAAGAGACTGGGCAGTCATTTGTCCGGAATGTTATAGAGTCTCCTGCTTGAACAGAGGGTTGGACACAAGAAGACCTCCAAGATCTCTTCCAACTCTGTTGTTCTGTATTCCCCTTTTCTATTTCTAATGTACATTTTCTCATCAGGATGTAATGCTTGAAAGTCAAGTTCTGCTAGAACAGAAATTGTATCAAACGGGCACAGTTTTCAATAGCTACCTCATATCCCCAATTAGTAGTGGAGATTTTTTAATGTACATAAGTGTTGAGGTTCCGGCTAATGAAACATTCCAAAGAACTTCCAGGCATTTATTTTCCTAAAAGTCTTTTATTGTTACAAAATGTTGGCACAGGCACAGTGGAGGGATGCTAGGATCTAAGTTCTCTTCCTCTGAGCAGTTAAATTATCAGCATGTTCCCTCCCTAAATTAGCTGTCATATCTCACATTATCCAATTAGTGTGAAGATGGGCTTTACCCCCAACGCCCCTTCTGCTCTTTATTAACCCCATATTTACCAGACAATTCTGCATATTGTCAAAAGCAAGAATATACAATATTTGCAGCATTGACATTAAGTACATATGTGCATGCAAATAGAATAGAATAGAATAGAATAACAAAGTTGAAAGGGATCTTGGAGGTCTTCTAGTCCAAACTCCTGCTTAGGCAGGAAGCCCTATACCATTTCAGACAAATGGCTGTCCAATCTCTTCTTAAAAACTTCCATCGCTTCTGGAGGCAGGTTGTTCCAATTATTAATTGTTCTAACTGTCAGGAAATTTTCTCCTTAGTTCTAGGTTGCTTCTCTCTTTGGTTAGTTTCCATCCATTACTTCTTGTCCTGCCTTCAGATGCTTTGGAGAATAGCTTGACTCCTTCTTCTTTGTGACAGCCCCTGAGATATTGGGGCTTGTCCTTCTCTTCGTTGAACTAGACATACCCAATTCCAGCAACTGCTCCTTATACGTTTTATCCTCCAGTCCCCTAATCATCTTTGTTGCTCTTCTCTGCATTCTTTCTAGAATCTCAGCATCTTTTTTACATTGTGCATTGTTATTATGATGATGATCCTATGTTAAATATTATACATGTGATATGAATAATTGGGCTTACACAAATTTGCCAAATCTGGTTACCAGTTAACCTTAACTTTTATGAAAGAGAGGTTCAGCCAAGTGATTGCGGCCCCCATCATGATACTTTTGAACCCCCCCTCCTCTCCAGATGCCCCACTTGGGATAGGATAAAGCTGTTTACCTGTTTTCCAAAACTCTCACATTTTCTTTAAGTGCCTTTTGCTGTTCACGCAGTTGGTGGTTTTTGGTAAAGAGCTCTTCAATTCTTTGGTTGTCACTAAGTCAAGGGGGAGGAACAGGGAGGAAGATGAGAAGACCCTTATTCCCAGGTCTCAAAATGCATCTCTGCCCTTTCTCTTTCTCTTTCTCTTTCTCTTTCTCTTTCTCTTTCTCTCTCTCCAACTTCAAGGAGAACTAAAGTAATAGGAGCTGATAGGACAGTGATGGCGAACCCTTTAGAGACCGAGTGCCCAAACTGTAACCCAAAACCCACTTATTTATCACCGGGTGCTGGATGGGTGTGGCCCACTGGGTGGGCGTGGCTGTGGTGGTCATGGCAGATTGGGTGGGTGTGGCCAAGGTAGGCGTGATCACCTCAATGTAGCTTGTGGGGAGGGATACCTGTGGAGGCTGGGCAGGGTTGGGGGAGATCCAGGGGGTCTCTGGCAGGTGGGGTGGTGGGCAGGAGGCTTGTCATGCGGGGTGAGGCAAGGCAAGGTGAGGCAGGGCGGGGTGCCATTGTCACAGGGCAAGGTGAGGCAGGGGCCGGGGTGGCTGCTGCTTGACACCATCGGCCCCTGCACACAGAGCCCAGCGAGCACATGGGTGCTGGGATGCATCCAGCCATGTGGGACCTCGGCGAGTTAGTGGGCTGCTGGTTGAAGAAGGATGGTTGCCATTTCTGGGGCATGGCGAGCATGCCCACAGAGAGGGCTCTGTGATAGGACAATTAAGACTCGATAAAGCAGGGGTCTTCAAACTTGGCCCTTTTATGACTTGTGGACTTCAACTCCCAAAATTCCTCAGCCAGGCACATGTGCCTGGCTGAGGAATTTTGGGAGTTGAAGTCCACAAGTCATAAAAGGGCTAAGTTTGAAAACCCCTGAGATAAAGTACAGGAGTCCTCAACCTATGACCACAATTGGTAAGAATTTCTGTCGCTAAACCAGGAGGAGGCTGTTCAGCGCGTCGCACCAATTCAATGATCATTTTTGCTTGTTGGTTAAAATTGTTAAGCAAATCGCTGCAGTTGTTAAGCGAGTCATGCCACCGTTAAGCAAATCCAGCTTCCCCCCCCCCTTGACTTTGTTTGATGGAAGCTGGCTGGGAAGGCAACAAATGGTGATCACACAATTCTGGGACATTGCAACTCTCGTAAATTCATGCTGGTCTCCAAGTACTCAAATTTTTTAATCACGTGTCCTCTGAGGATGGTGTGACGGTCACTAGTGCTAGGATCAGTTGCAAGTCCATTTTTTCAGTGCCATTGTAACATCCAACAGTCACCAAACAAATGGTTGTAAATCATGAATTATCTGTACTTAGGAAACAGAAATTGTTCGCCCATCAGGCTAAACCAGGGGTAGGCAACCTTGCCTCTTTTATGACTTGTGGACTTCAACTCCCAGAATTCCTGAGTCAGTCATGCTGAGGGGAAAGGGAGAGTTTCCAAGCTGAGCCATGCTGGCTCTGGAATTCTGGGAGTTGAAGTCCACGAGTCATAAAAGAGCCAACGTTGCCTACCCCTGGGCTAAACAAAATGTGGCTTCATTCTGGCTTGACAAAGCCACTGTGCTTTGTGAGCAGTAATTTATGCCTTAGTGTGGACCAACCAGCCAATAGTAGTTTATTCATCAAACCATTATTCAAAACTCAGTTTGTCCAGATGTTTCCCCTCTATAGATGCTAAACAAAGATTTTGATTCCAGCATTAGCCCCAAAGCTCTTAAGATGATAGGGATGGATCTTAAACTTTATTTTCTATTTTAATTTATTCTGTCTTGTTCTAAAGAACATAAGTCCACGAACCCATGCCCAACAGAATGGCATTTGTTACACACTCACCGACATTTCTCATTGGTTAGTTCGTTCAGTTTGGTTTGCAGGCCTGGAAGAGTTCAGAAACAATCTGTGATCTTTGCTGCTGGATGTACAACATTACAATTCAATCTGGTCAATTAAAGATCTAATGATTGGCTATCACAGAACACATTCAATTTGGTTGATGGAAACCATGATTGGTTCCTTGTGGCTTAACCAACCGCATGAATCCAAACCATTTAGTTAGATTACAATTCCATCGACAGATACGCCTTGACGTATAACCACAATTGAGCCCCAAATTTATGTTGTTAAGTGAGATAATTGTTTATGTGAGTTTTGCCACATTTACAATCTTTCTTTCCATAGTTGATCACTGCAGTTTTTAAATTGGTAACACAGTTGTTAAATGAATCTGGCTTCCCCAGTGACTTTATTTGTCAAAAGGTCGCAAAAGGGGATCACATGACCCCCTGGGACACTGCAAACGTCATAAATGTGAGTCAGTTGTCAAGCATCCAAATGTAGATCACCTGACCATGGGGATGCAGCAAGGGTTATAAGTGTGAAAAATGGTCACAAGTCACTTTTTCAGTGCCATTGTAACGGTCACTAAATGAACTTTTGTAAGTTGAGGACTACCTGTGTAGAAATGTGTGTGTATACTGTATATAGGTATGTACATTTATGTATATCTGGTGATGGCGAACCTTTTAGAGATCAAGTGCCCAAACTGCAACCCAAAACCCACTTATGCATTGTCGGGTGCTGGGTGGGTGTGGCCAATTGGGTGAATGTGGCCCATTGGGTGGGCGTGGCTGCGATGGTAACGGCAGACTGGGTGGGACTAAAAAGTTCAATCAATCAATTCCAACTTTGCAAGTTCTTTTTTTTCCCCCGCAAGAAGTTGAAATTGACTGATTGATTGAACCTTTTTTTTTTTTACACAGCGGCAGAGGCCTAAAGCGAAAAGGTTTTATAAAACCCAGCTGAAGGCCTAGGACTGGGACGACGGCGCACGTGCCCACAGAGAGGGCTCTGAGTGCTGCCTCTGGCACCTGTGCCATAGGTTCACCACCACTGTGATAGATGATAGAGCAGGTTTAAACTGAAATCATTCTACAGTATATATGTAAACATTAAATCAGGTAGCAAGCAAGCAAATCTGCACAACCTATCAAGATTGAAAGCTGGCATGTCAGTCTTAACTGTATTTGCAATTGACAACTCAAAGAGTGGCTGAGTTCACAAAGAGCTAACTCTACACAATCAGCAATCCTTCCACTTTTCATCCATTTTTTCACCTGATTCTTACATTTTAAACATCTCTGCCACAAATCTATTCATCCAACTAACCAGACAGTGTGTAAGCCCTATTTTACACACACACACACACATACACACACACACACACACACACAAACACACACTACTTACCTTGGACTTCTTTCTCGTGTGTTTCCTTGAGTCTGTTCAAGATTTCCGCAAAATTTTCAGTGGCCATGTTCCTTGTATCATTACATGGATGGGTCCGAGGTGGGGAGAAAGTAATTGGATTGGATGGTTTCAGATCAGTTTTCTCCCTCTCTCCAGTGTTCAGCTTGTGGCCTAAGAGGGAAGAATTAGAGATGAAAAAAGAAAAAAAAATCCTTTCTGAATAGTTCTGATGTTGCTATTTCCTAGTCAAAAGATGCATGATACGATGCTTTTTTTGGGAGCTCAGAATTCATTGAGACTTGATGTCATGATTCCGACAGATGAAACTCTTCAAAGAACTTTTAGGCATTGTTTACCTTAAAGAATCTTTATTTGAATAGCATAGCATCGGCACTAACATAATTGAAGCCAAAAACTGAGTTCCCCTCCCCTGAGCACATAGTATCAAAGCACAATTCCCTCCTCCAATTAACAGTCATAAATCACATTCTCCAATTAGTTTGAAATGAAGGCCTCCCCTCCAGTTCTCCAACCCAGCCAATTCTTATCATCTCTTATTTCAGTAACCTTGGTTCACACACTAGGTTCAGTATTGTTATGTCTAGCTAAACTCTCATGCACATTCCTCCCCCCAGCATCATCTAATTTTAACTCTAAGAGTAAAACATAAGAAGAAAACGTTGTCAAAGCAAAAACATCCAATGTTAGCAGCATTGACATTTGACAATCTATAATAATAATAATAAAGTTGGAAGGTACCTTGGAGGTCATCTAGTCCAACCCCCTGCTCAGGCAGGAAACCCTATACCATTTCAGTCAGGCTGATAGGTCTGTAATTTCCTGGGTCCATTTTTTTTCCTTTTTTTTGAAGATGGGAACTATATCAGCTTTTTTCCAGTCCTCCGATAGTTCCCCAATGCTCCAGCATCTTTGAAAAATATAGTTCAATGGTTCTGAGATCACAACTGCCAGTTCCTTGAGAACCCTGGGGTGTAATCCATCTAGTCCTGGTGATTTGAACTCGTCTAGGCTGGACAGGTGCTCACTTACCGTTTTCTTGCCTATCTTAACTTGCGTTTCTATTCTGTTTTTTATGGCACTATTTTTGGTAGGTTGGTCTGTTTTTTCCCTTTGTGTAAAGACAGATGCAAAAAATGAGTTAAATAGTTCTGCTTTCTCCCTGTTGCTTGTCACCTTCTTGCCACTTTCACCCACTAATGGACCATAGGAAGACTAATGGGTCTTCCCAGTGCTTTTTTTCTAAAAAAAAAAAAAAAAAAAAAAAGGTACCGGAACTCACACACGTCATACAACCCGCCTTGCTTACCCTACAAGGTTCCATCCCAAAAAGGTGCTGGAACTCCGTTCTGGGCGTTCTGTGAGAAAAAAAGCCCTGGGTCTTCCTAGTAGAGATATTCCTTATCTAAATTTCTTGACTCCTTCTCTTGCTTCCTTGCTTTCTGGTAGGGAGAGTCAGAAATGATGATCATCTGACTGTGGCAGAGCAACCACAGCAGCATGGCGACACTGAAGCACCACCATTTTACCTAATTTCAATCCCACGAGAGTCATGAGTTCTGGATTTTGAACACATTCTGCAAGTTAGACTACTTGAGGTAGGTTGACTCATAAATGGCCGCCCTGTAATCCACCATTTCGCCCAATTGAAGGTTACAAATAGACACATAGGAGAGCTTTACTAGCACAGGTAATTACTTCTGCTGACTTAAGATCACAATTGTGCCCAAAATTTCCCTTGCTAAGCAAGACAGTTTTAAGTAAGTTTTGCCCATTTTATGACCTTTCCTGACACAAGTTGTTAAGTGAACCACTAGTTGTTAAGTTGATAACGCAGGTTGTTCTGCTGATTAATTGTTCTAACTGTCAGGAAATGTCTCCTTTGTTTATCAGAAGGTCACAAAAGGTCATCACATGACCCTGGCACATGGTAACTGTCATAACTACCAAGTTGCCAAATGTCCAAATGTTGATCACTTGACCGCGGAGATGCTTCAACTGTCATAAGTGTAAAAAAAACTGTTAGAAGTCATTTTTTTCCTAGCATCATTGTAACTTTGAATGGTCAGTAAATGATAGATTGTAAGTCAAGGACTACCTGTATATAAACATTAGTTGCCTAGCATGGCTGACTCGGGAATTCTGGGAGTTGAAGTCCATGAGTCATAAAAGAGCCGAGGTTGCCTACCCCTGCCATAGACGGTCAAAAACCTAGGTATTTATTAACTTTTTTCGTTAATATATTTTTATTACTGGGTTGGGAGAAAGGAAGCTGATGTTTGGATGGTGATCTTATCCTTTTGGGAGATGGGATTGATCATTCATGCATTTTAGAAAGTGAAAATCCAATTGCTTAAAATTAGACAAAATCAAATGCTTTTTTTGGTGTAATTAAAGCATTCAAAGAACTACTCCAAAATTCTGATTTTTAGACACAATAGTTGACAGGCGCAAAAGACCAGTCCACACATGAAGGGCTGATTAAACTGATTTATTGATGAATAGTCTATGCATAGGAATCTTCTCAACTAATGGTTAGCAGCTGCTTGTGGCTATGTAGGGATTCTAGGCTGATACCTCTTTTAACTCTGCCTTCTGGTTCTGCCACTCCTTTTCTTACAATAGTCTAGCCATTGTCTTGGAAATGAATATTGGACAGTTTGAACAGTTTGTAAAGTGGTTTAACAACTTTAATAAGACAGTATTTGATAATATGGTCGACTCTACAAGCAGTTTTCTGGGTGTAATATAAATAATGGTTTCTCTGTGGGTATGCTTTTGCTTAGTTTATAGAATATTTTATGTCCAACCTTTATGTTTTAAGGAAAATAAGTTAATAAAAGGAAATAAAACATGACATATCTGATCCACAGAGTGAAACATAAAATATGCCTATAAAGCATATTGCCTGGTTCCCCTGGAGGATTACTGTGATTCACCATAGGTGAGTACTTTATAGCACTTTTTCAAAGGCCCAAATAAATTGTAGGAAGCTGAAGGAAGAAAATAGATTAGGTATGTCCTAAATTACCTACTCGTCATGGGTAATTACTGCATTTGCACAGATTTCCTTTAGCTACCAGTCTTAATTTATCGTGACCATTGAATAGTGTCTCATTTCCCCAAGGGGTTTCCAAAAGTTTTATTGCACAAGTCTGAAGCTTTGCCAGCTCCGTTCAGGACCCGTGACAGAGTCTGATGGGAAAAGCTTTCAGGAAGATAAATCTTTCCAGGAAGCTCAAATTGCATTAATACGTACCTGTGGTTGGAATGCAGGCTTAGTAACTCCACTAATAAAGGAAGTTAAAAAGAAATCTGTGGGTTTATTTAAATTGGAAAAAAACCTCCTTTGGTTGCTAATCCCTGACTTCAGAAAGAGATAGTATATAACAGTGATGGTGAACCTTTTAGAGACTGAGTGCCCAAACTGCAACCCAAAACCCACTTATGCATCGTCGAGTGCTGGGTGGGTGTGGCCTATTGGCTGGGTGTGGCCCATTGGGTGGGCGTGGCCAATTGGGTGGGCATGGCTGCAGTGGTAAAGGCAGACTGGGTGGGACTAAAAAGTTCAATCAATCAATTCCAACTTTGCAAGATCTTTTCTTTTCCCTGGGAGAAGTTGAAATTGACTGATTGAACCTTTTTTTTTTTTTTTTGCACATGGCAGTGGAGGCCTAAAGCGAAAAGGTTTTATAAAACCCAGCTGAAGGCCTAGGACAGGGGCGACGACACGCGTGCCCACAGAGAGGGCTCTGAGTGCCGCTTCTGGCACCCGTGCCATAGGTTCGCCACCACTGGTATATAATATTACGGAGAGAAGTTGCTGGATAAAATACACAGACATGTTAGAGTGCAGAGAAGAGCATCAAAGATGATTAGGGCAGGGCTTTTCAACCTTTTCACAGATTGTACCACTTTTAGGACATGACAATATTTGAGTACCACCAGTGCTTAGCAAGGTGTCAAAAACTTGATTAAAAAAAAGGGGGGGGGGATTTTCGGTTTTACTGATTAGATTCATTTGTTGTTGTAGAAATGGGTAGTTTATAATATTATGGAAAAGTAAAAAGTTGAGGTTCAATTTTAATGCTTCCTTCTACTGCATCAGAGGAAGTCTGCTCTTTTTCCTTTCTCCCCCTCACTTTTCCCCTTTTTTCCTCCCCACTGTGTCCTACTATTTGCTTTTGTATTTTATTCTATACTCTAATAAAATATTACAAACTGTAGAAAAAAAGAAAAAAAGTACCAGTTTTAAAAATGTCTTCTTTGGCTGTTCCTTTTGCTGAACCACTTTCCCTTTGCACTGACAAATGTATGATGAATTTATCCATGTTTATTAATATGCACCACTACCAGCTAGTTCAGGGGTCTTCAATCCTGGCACTTTTAAGACTGGAGGCTAAAACATATAAAGCAGTGGTTCTCAACCTTTTTAATACCGCGACCCCAACCGGTTGCAAGTCGAGGACTACTCAACTGGTATAGCACCGTTTGCAGAATGGGACTTTTGGCGGGCTCAGCAGGGCAGAGGCAGCCTGGACGATTCCTACTGGCTTTTGAAATTAGACTCTGTTCAAGAGAGTCTATTCTATTGGCTTTCAAAAGCCAATAGAATAAAAGGGAGTAGCACAGCTAAAGAAAAGGGGGAAAAACGGCGGACTGCCTTGTTTGGCGACCCCCGTGCAATGGTCGTTCGACCCCAAATGGGGTCCCGACCCACAGGTTGAGAACCACTGATAGAAAGAATGGTTGCAGGAATTGGGTATGTCCAGTTTAATGAAAAGAAGGGTGGTGGGTGACATGAAAGTAGTGCTCCAATATTTGAGGGGATCAATCTATTTTCCAAAGCACTGGAAGGCAAGACAAGGAACAATGGATGGAAACTAATCAAGGAGACAAGGTACCTGGAACGAAGGAGAAATTTCCTAACAGTAAGAACAATTAACCAGTGGAACAGCTTGCCTCCAGAAGTTGGGATGCTTCATCACTGGAGGCTTTTAAAAAGAGACTGGGCAACTATTTATCTGAAATGATACAGCGTCTTCTGCTTGAGCAGGAGTTGGATTAGAAGACTCCAAGGTCCCTTCCAACTCTATTATGCTGTTATAGTCATAGTTGAGCCTAACTAAGAGACTTGCACAGAACATCATAGTGCAATTTTTTTTTTTTTTTTTGGCAGCTAGACTTGATGGCTACAGAGGAAAGACTGCTCTTGTTTGCTGGGGAACATTCCTACAGACAGACAGAAAGCACCACATTTTCAAAGCATGTCAATATGTCTGGAGGACGTGTTGAAAGAAAAGTCTTCATCGTGGTTCATCCAAGCTGGGAATAAACATGGCAACTGCTTTGGGAAGAAGGTTGTAGTTTATTGAAGAGGAGAGCCAGGAAGAAGGTTCTGGCAGCAAGAGAAGTGAATAAAGGGCCTAGCACATGTAGGGAATAGGTTTTTTACACCCTCTGGAGCCTTTTGTTTGGAGTTATTTCCTGTTCCTGTTTTAAGGCTATTTCCTGTGTCATGTATTCTGACCTGAGTTTGGGTGTGCCCTTTGGCCTTTATGAGTTAATCCTACCATGTCCTGTCCCAGGTGGGGTATACAGATTTTAGGTCTTTGTCTTCCTAATCTCCTAGCTCCAACTTTCCTGATGGTTTACATCTGCATTTGTACAGAGCTGGTTTCTGCTTGGGGGAGGCAGATTTGGGGCTATTAAGAAAAACTGGGCATGCTTTTCTGTCTCTTTAAGATCCTTTGAGAAAATATATTTTTCTGTCCTTTTTAATATTTCCTTCTCTGGGGGGCTGACTTCCCACAGACATCTGTTCCTCAAAATATGAAAGTAGCTATAGGCAGTGGTGGGATTCAGCCAATTCGCACCACTTCGGCCGAACCGGTAGCTAATTTTTTGTTGCTCAGGTCCAGAACGGACTTCTGGAAGCGGCATCCACACAGAGAACCAGTTGTTCACCTATTTGAATCCCACCACTGGCTACAGATAGTCCTTGAGTGATGACCACAATTGGGCCCCAAATTTCCATTGCTAAGGGAGACATTTGTCAAGTCAGTTTTGCTCCCTTTTACGTCCTTTCTTGCCATGGTGGTTAAATGAAACACTATAGTTGCTAAGTTAGGAACAGGGTCATTAAATGAATCTAGCTTCTCCATTGATTTGCTCGTCAGAAGGTCGCAAAAGGGGATCCCATGATCCCGGGACATGGCAACCATCATAAATATGAGTCAGTTGCTAAGTGTCTGAATTTTGATCATGTGACCCTGGGGATGCTGCAAGGGTTGTAAGTGTGAAAAACAATCATCAGTCATTTTTTTTCAATGCAGTTGTAATTTCAAACAGTTCCTAAACCAGGGGTAGGCAACCTTGGCTCTTTTATGACTCGAGGACTTCAACTCCCAGAATTCCTGAGCCAGCATGGCTCAGCTTGGAAACCTCTCCTTTTTCCCTCAGCATGGCTGGCTCAGGAATTCTGGGAGTTGAAGTCCTCGAGTCATAAAAGAGCCAAGGTTCCCCACCCCTGTCCTAAACAAATGGTGGTAAGTCGACTACCTATGTGTCCTTTGGAAAATCACGTGTGCTGCTTTGAATGTAGCCTCTGATTTTTTTATGTGGCTGTTTGTACTCTTCAACTGGGACTGCCAGAAAAACCAAACAGCTGTTGGTTTTTCTGACAACTGGTTAAATAACCAGAAACAATCTTCAGAAGAGCTGTGCAAAGCTTAAGGATGCAGCTGCTTTAATGCTTGGAGGAGAGATGCTTTCATGGGCTAGCACACTTTGCATGGCCCCGCTTTCCAATGCTATTAATAAACCTGTCAGGGGAGTTTAGTAAAGAAACAGGCAAGGGAAGAAACAAAAAAGGTCACCAGTTAAGTCAGAAGGGGTTGGCCAGAGATCTGGGTTGTAGGACACTCTTCTTCTGTCTGTTCTAGATCATTTCATGCTTCTTTTTTTAAATTGCCAAATGTCTAAATAGCTACTTATATACGGCTTTTGGAGCAAAAAAGCAACATTTTGAAGCAAAAGCAAGAAATTTAAAGCCAGTTTGTTCAATCAGGGTTAAAGCAAGGTATAATTTCATAAAGTTCTGGAGCCCCTTTACGAACTTTTGCTTATATCTGGACCGAAACATTAATGATTTATGGATTTGCAAATGGATAAAGGATGGACTATTGGAAGAACAGATGCATGCATACACTCTTATGGGTTGGAAGAAATATTCAGTTTGCCTGTACTTGTGATGAAGGTCAGAAGTCGCTTCTTTAATTATTGCTTTTTTTCTTTCATTTCTTTCTCTCTTCCTTCTTTCCTTCCACTTTCTATTCATTTACTCTTCATTTTCCCTCACTCTCCTGGAATTTAATTTATATTATCGTTTATTATTTGTAAAACTTTATATAATAATATTAAGATAGAAAGAAAAGGAAAGGAAAGGGAAGGAAGGAAGGAAGGAAGGAAGGGAAGGAGGAAGGGAGGGAGGGAAGAAAGTATATTTGTCTGAAATAGTGTAAAGTTTCCTGCTTTCCAATCTGTGCTTCTCTGGAAGTTTACAAAAGGGACCTCTGCCAAACTTAGTTGACCAGTGCAAGGAAGCAGCATTGTCTAGATCAGTGGTTCTCAACCTTTCTAATGCTGGCAGTCAGACTATTCTGTAGGCTTTCCTAGCTCAAACTACATGGCTACAAAAAATAGGAAGGTTAGAAAGCATCTTGGAAAACATCTAGACCAGTGGTTCTCAACCTTTCTAATGCCGCGACCCCATAATACAGTTCCCCATGTTGTGGTGACCCCCAACCACTTATATATCACTGGGTGCCAGGGGCATGGCCAAAGAAAAGGGGGGGGGAAATAGCGGACAGCCTTGTTTGGCGACCCCCGTGAAATGGTCGTTCGACCCCAAATGGGGTCCCGACCCATAGGTTGAGAACCACTGGTCTAGATCTAATTGTAGCACAAGTGGAATAATGTCTAACATCAGCTTCTAATAAGCCATCCACACCCCACATCTTTCCTGCAAATCCCCAGGCATCCAGAGCAATCTCCACCAGATTCTTTATGAAGTATCTTCACTCTGCAAGGCCTGAGACTTAAATCAGAATTTCCAAGGGATTGCAAATCTGTTTCTTCAATCTGACTTCTCGGCTCACATTACCCTCTTGCTCCATCCGGCTTAAATCAAACTTGGCATAGGCCATTAAGGTCAAAGTAGGACAGTTTCGAGCTGAAAGCTAGCCCAGGAATGCTGGTGGAAATACAGTACTGTTTCTAATCGGACACATGGCACCTGTTCCAGAATCATAAACCAGCCTGTGACTGCAAGTGATGGTATTCTTGGCTTTCCAATTTCCATTCAGCCTGAGCCTGTGAGCCTGGCTGAATTGTTACCCCAGGATGATGTCGTGAAAGCTCTCAAACTTGATTGCAGTTACTATGCATACTGTCTCACTCTGAATATTTTGAATAAAAAAGTGCTTAGCAACTGTTCAAATCTGCATTAACAGAGGGATAGAATCAAGATCATGTGAAGTGTTAGTACCACATTACAATGCCTAAGGCCACACTTGGAATACTGCATCCAGCTTTGGTCGCCACGATGTAAAAAAGATGTTGAGACTCTAGAACAGTGGTTCTCAACCTGTGGGTCGGGACCCCATTTGGGGTCAAATGACCATTTCACGGGGGTTGCCAAACAAGGCTGTCCGCCATTTTTTCCCCTTTTCTTTGGCCACGCCCCTGGCACCCGGTGATGTATAAGTGGTTGGGGGTCACCACAACATGGGGAACTGTATTATGGGGTCACGGCATTAGAAAGATTGAGAACCACTGCTCTAGAAAGAGTACCGAGAAGAGCAACAAAGATGATTAGGGGACTGGAGGCTAAAGCATATAAGGAACAGTTGCTGGAATTGGGTATGTCTAGTTTAATGAAGGGAAGGACGAGGGGGGACATGATAGCAGTGTTCCAATATCTCAGGGGTTGCTACAAAGAAGAGGGAGTCAAGCTATTCTCCAGAACACCCCAAAGCAAAACAAGAAACAATGGTCGGAAACTAATCAAGAAGAGAACCAATCTAGAACTAAGGAGAAATTTCCCGACAGAACAATTAATCAGACTAGGGCAGCGGTTCTCAACCTGTGGGTCGCAACCCCATTTGGGGTCGAATGACCATTTCACGGGGGTCGCCAAACAACGCGATCCGGCATTTTTTTGTCAGCTGGTGGCACTGCGCATGCACGCTGCACATGGGGTGGCACCGCACATGTGCGACGTGCATGGGGACACCGCCACGCATGCCCGCAGCGCACCGGGACACCGCCACGCATGCACGCCGCACACGGGGGCACCGCCATGCATGCGCGCCGCGTCCTTATGACCGGGGTCGCCAGAAAAAAAAGGTTGAGAACCACTGGACTAGGGGATCTCCAAACATGGCAACTTTAAGACTTGTGGATTTTAACTCCTGGAATTCCCCAAAACTTGGCTGGCTGGGGAATTCCAGGAGCTGAAGTCCTCAAGTCTTAAAGTTGCCAAATTTGAAGAACCCTGGTATAGAACAGCCTTTCTCAGCTTTTTGCTCGCAGGGGTGGGCAACCTTGGCTCTTTTATGACTTGTGCACTTCAACTCCCAGAATTCCTGAGCCAGCCATGCTGAGGGGAAAGGGAGAGGTTTCCAAGCTGAGCCATGCTGGCTCAGGAATTCTGGGAGTTGAAGTCCACGAGTCATAAAGCGGCCTAGGCCTAGACCAGAGTTAGGCAACCTCAGCTCTTTTATGACTCGTGGACTTCAACTCCCAGAATTCCTGAGCCAGCCATGCTGAGAAGAAAGGGAGAGGTTTCCATGCTGAGCCATGCTGGCTCAGGAATTCTGGGAATTGAAGTCCACGAGTCATAAAAGAGCCAAGGTTGCCTACCCCTGCTCTAGAGGAATCGGCGCATAAAAATGGCAAAAACAAAACAAAGAAAATACAATCCTCCCAATTCATAACTCCATTCACGTCTAATCTACACAATTCATGTTTTACAACCTTTAAAACAGCTGAGTCACGGCTCATAAACATTTCCACTACTGTGAACAGTAGCATTGCAGAGTGAGTGAATCCAGCTTCCGCAACTGAGGTTCCTTTTGTTGGAAATTGGCAAGGTTGCAGATTTTGAACATCACAGGATGCTGTAACTGGTTGCAACTGATCAATGTGAGCCAGTTGCCAAGTGTCCGAATTGCGATCACAAGCCTGTGGGGGGAGGGGTGCTGTGATAGTCATAAGTGTGAGGACAATTATAAATCACTTTTTCTGAGATTGTCGTAACTTTGAATCTTCATTAAGCGAACAGCCGTAAGTCGAGGATTACCTATCTAGCTTTACAATAAAAGCAGTACAGGTGGACCTCGACTTACAACAGTTCATTTAGTGACTGTCCAAAATTACAAGGTCGCCAGAAAAAAGTGACTTACGACCATTTTTCACACTTACGACTGCTACAGCACCCCCCTGGTCACAGGATCAAAATTCAGACAG